GTGTGTGTGTGTGTGTGTGTGGTGGAACTGGGGATTGAACTCAGGCCCTTGCACTTGCCAGGCAAGTGCTTATTCTACTGAGCCATCTCCCCGGCCCCTTGTTTTAAATTTTTGGTAAGTTGCTATCATTTTGCTTTGTTTGGTTTCGAGATAGTCTTGGCATATAGTTCAGGTTGTCCTTAAACTTACTATGTGGTCCAAATCCAAGACAATCAGTCCTCCTGCCTCAGCCCCCCTAAGTGCTGGGATTGCAGGTATGTACCATCACACTTGGTTCTCAAAATCTTTAATTTTTTTTTATCTACATTAAAATTTTTAGGCCTATAATACAAGTTTCAGAGCATATAAATTTTTCCATTGTGTATCTGAAATACAGTGTAAAGCACTCAACAAAAAGAACTTTAGGAAGTTATTCAGTTTTGAATGATTGCAGTGGAGACAATTTTCCTCATGAAGTAACTCAGATTTCACACTTTCTTGGGTTTTTTTGTCTTTGAGACAGAGTCTCACTACACAGTTCAGGCTCTCATGTCGCTGAGCTGTCTCCCCGGCCCTCAGCCACTTTTATGGTTCTTGGGACAACTAGGAATATGGTATTGAGAACAAAATATTAGAGACCTACATATCTCCAAACAGTCAAGATACAAAGACTGGCTTTTGATTTAAATAACTCCGAGTGCACCTCAAATGGCCCGCAGAGGTCATACTAGCGAGCCCCACCTTGATGCATCAGAATGAGGGCAGCAGCAGGAGAAGGGACCCCACCTGGGAAGGCAGCACAGGGAGCCAAGTCTGGATTTTTGGTTTCTCTGGTGTGCACGCACACACTGACAGGCAACTTTGGTCAAAGCCCCTCTGTTGTCAGCCCCACGATGCCGATAGCATGAGGCATCCACATAGGGAATCAGTTTCTGACTTCTCTGCTGCCCCAAGACCTCAGGGCCCCACACAGTACAGCAGTGGGCAATTCCTAAGGAAAACAGCGAGACTAGGATGCTGGCCGGCACTTGCATTTAAATGGCAAAAGGACACAGAGGTTGGAGATGGTTCCATGTGGCAAGTTTCACTCACCTCCTAAACTGTCATGGGTGTGATGTTAGGAGTGGAAGTGCTCTCTTCTAAAGTCCAGAACTCGGCTACCCATTAGCAAATGCCCTGGACTCACCACTGGGTTTTCCCTTAGGGGCCTCCTCCCCCAGGAGGAAGCAGAACCCTCCCTTAGGCTCCCAAAATGCCTAGAATCATCCCTGTTACCAATCATGCTTTTTACTTGACTCATTCCTTCATTAGGCAGTGAGGGCTTCCCTCCCGAGTGCTGGCCGGGAGCAGGTATGTAGTACAAGGCTCACAGAGGACAAAGACCTCATTAAACTAGCTCAGCAGGCTCACTGCCCAAAGAATTCACTACCCATTTCAATTCTAGCCTGGTGTGGTGCACACCTGGAAGCCCAGGCTGAGGGAGGAGGGTCGCCTCAGTTTGAGGCCAGTGTGCTTCAGTTTCATCTGTCTTCCTCCACGTGTGGCAGCCAAGTGGGCAAGGGAGGCCTGTGTCATCTGGCCAGCCTGGCACTAGAGGGTCTAGTTCAGGAGAATGAGGGAGAATACTGTCACCAGTGTCCCATACCTCATTTTGCACATCTGGATGTCCTTAAAAATGGGGTGCGTCTGCCAACAAGGTGGCATGACTTGGTTTAACCAGTCAGAATATCTCTTTCCTAATCATGTACCTTATACTCAGTGCATCATAGGTGCAAGGAAACACGGTAAGCAACAATCTCCAGTTAGGCTTATTGAGGAGCTGGCATATTAATCTCCAGCTGTGCCAGTGGAGCAGAACTCGGTTGATTCCATGCACAATAGTGGAGGAACAGGGTGTTATTGATCAGCACTGCCCCAGCCCTGCACTGGGCACCTCCCGTGGCCTGGCCACACAGATAAGTGAGATGTCTTCTACAGCCTGAGAACAAGAGAAGCTAGCCTGGGAGAAGAAAGGCACTAGCTAGCCAAGAAGGGTGCAAAGTCTCACTGGGACTGCACACATGCACATCCTACACGCCCACATGTGCATGCCACATGCACACAGCACCAGGGCCTGCTTCAGCCCTCCTGGCCTAATGCCTTACTGTACTCTAGTCACCATCTTAGTCTCCTTTTCCTGCAGCCTTGGCTACATTCCTCAAGAGATCCCCAAGCACCACACCCCAGTTTACTTGTAGTTTTTGCAACCCCTTCCAATATGAGCCAGTCCAGTAGCTGGGTGTGGTGGCGCACGCCTGTGATCCCAGTATGATCCCAGTACACAGGAGGCTGAAGCTGGATGATCATTGAGAGTTCAAGACCAGCCTGGGCTACAAAGTGAGCTCAAGGCCAGCCTGAATTGTGTAGGGCAATACTTTTGTCTCAAAAAGACAAAAAATAAATAACTAAATATGGACCAGTCCACTCTAGCCGCTGTCCCTAGAGAGGAGTAACCTAGACACTAAGAGAGGGAAAAGGCCATGCAGAGACATAGGGAGGAGACAACCATCTGCTAGCCAAGAGATGCAGAGCAGATCCTCCTTCACAACTTCTGACAGCAGAAGGAAACGACCCTGCTGATACCACAGTCTTGGACCTCCACAGTGGTGTGGTAATCAGTTCTGCTGGGTAGTCCACTCAGTTTCCAGGGCTTCCTGACACTGGTCCACCCAAAGGAACCCAGTCCTGGCTGTCCAGGCTACCAGTCACTGTTCACCCTCTGCTGCCTGGTTTCTCTATTTCACACCCAATAACACTTTCTTGGGCTGTAATGTGGCAACCTCTTCTGGCCTCTGGTTCTCTCCCACTGCTCCTCACATTCTGCTTCCTGTTCCCCCTCCACCCAGTTAGCTCCTAATGCCAGAGTTACCCCAGGTTCCCCCTCCCCCATGCATTGACTCAGGTGACCTCCCCACTGTGGCTTCAGACCCCAAAGCTCTGTCGCTGTTCTGTACCTGTGCTTCAAGTTCCAGACCCAGATATCCAGCTGTCTCCTAGACATCTGAGCCTGCACCTCCCACCAGCATCATGAGCATGCGTCCAGCTAATTCCTGCCCCTGCCCTCTATAGGGCCCATCTCAAGAAAGGCTACAGTCTCCTTAGGGATATCCTTGGTTTACTGCTCTGGAAGCTGGGTGACATGATTTTCTATAGCCCCGGGACACCCAAGATGTTCCCTACACCCTAACCACACTATTACATCATGCTCCCTAGATGTGTCCCCACTAGCCTGTGACATACATCATGAACAGTAGGGTCTGTCTCACATCCATGCAAAGGGACCTTGGACACTGGTTATCCCTTCCCACGAGGGAGTGAAAATGCTCCCGCGAACTTTTTGGAAGTTAAGAAACTGCCACTCAAGCATAATATCACGAACAAGTTTTTATTTGTCCTGCATATAGAACCCAATAAATATAAAAACATCTCCAAAATTAGTCACCTCCCCAAAAGGCCCCTCCCTCCCTGGGTGGGCCCAGACAGGGGCAATGGGGGTTGCAGGCCACCTCCTTCTGTCCAGTCAACAAGTTCCATATAAAAATAGATCTTTAAAGGGCTCCCAAGGCCTGCCACCCTGCATCAGGCCAGCGCCTGCACAGGGCTAAGGCCTGGGACACATAGCAACTCTGGACCTCACTCCTCAGGGGAGGGGAGATCTACCCTGGACACCGAAGTCCTCCAGCACAGCCAGGATCCCTCCACAGAGCAGCTGGGGAAGGGAGCACTGTGACCTTAAGAGAATGAAGTGGCCAGTGAGGGGGTGAGCTGCTGTCCACCTAAGACAGGACGCTGGTCCCCAGGGTTCCCTGGAGGGGCAGCGAAGGGAGAGATGGGTGTGCCTGGCAGGGGACCACCAACCCTATCAAAGGTGGAAGCAGTATTTAGTCTGCCCAACTACCCCGAGCTGACGCAGTTCAGAGGAGGCATAGCCTGGAGTGGGTGTGGGGGCTCCAAGGGGGGAAGAGCTGTTACTGGCAGAGTGAGGCCAAAGGCACTGCTGAGAGTCACTGTCCTCCATCACAGGCCCTCCCCAGAGCTGCACTATGCCTTTCAGCCCTATGGCTCCTCAGCGAGTCCTTGCTTACACTCCTCTTGTCCTAAGCCTGGTCCTTTGGCCTGCAGCGATCTCTACCACCCCAAGGAAAGAGATCTCTCTTCCTAAGCCTCTGTGGGCTTCAGCTTCAGCTAAGATGCTTTTCTTGACACCCCTCAATATACACATTTCAAGAGCATCTCCATCAGGCCCTCCAGCCTACCCTCTTGCTGACCCCAAGGGCTCCAGGGGCCCTGGTCAGTAATGCAGTTTGATTACTTCTTGCACCTGAGCTCAAGTTCCCACCAGTCTGAGCCCCCAGTGTCAGGCTCTGTCTCCTTCACCTCTCCTGCAAACCTCTCTTCCTTCCAGGTCACCCGTCACAGACCGCACCCCCACAGCCAAACCAGAGTAGGCATCTGTCATGGGTGACATGAACAAACTCAGCCCTGACCACCTCTGGGCCATGGCCACACCATCACCACTGCTGCGGGCCCCTCTGCATAAGGGCTTCTGGAATCAGCTCAATAACAACCACCCCCACCATCCCCAGGGCTTCACAGAAGCCAGAGGGAGGAGGTGCTCCAGAGGTGGGGTCCAGGGACTGAGCTGGCAGGAGAGGGTCACCTCTACAGTGTCCTCTGGGCTGCCCCACAGAAGATAGCTGCTGCCAGAGGGCAAGGCCAAGGACCTCCTCTAGACCCTAGATCAGGTTCCAACCCCTCTTCTGGCCCTCAGTCTCACAGGCTCTGAGTTCCCCATTGCACAATGCTGTTTCTGAGTGTCCTCTCCACCTCTGCCCAGGTGGGAGAGCAAGACTCGCAGAGCTCCATGGAGAGAACATGTCCCCTCATGCTCTGCCAAGTGAGTTCATAAAGTGAATGCAAACAGGGAGCCATGTGGGGCCTCAGGGGAGCACCAGGACCACTCGGCCCAGCCAGGACCCTTCCACTCATCCTGCACTGCCAGGCCAAGGGGAGGACACAGTCAGCTCCTGAGCCTTGGGCCTTGGGGCCCAACCTCCAAGCTCAGCACCACTTTTGCCTCCCTGGGCCTCAGGATGGTGTCCAGACACACCTCAACCAGTTGGAGAACAGGCGATAAGGAGCCTGGCCCCTGGCACAGCCACACGTGGCCAAGATACCCAGCAACTGTGGTCACCGACTCTCAGGAGGCCCATGTTGTCTGGCTGGATGACAAGTCTGTAGGAAAAGGGGATACCCACTGGGAAGGCCCCAACCCCCAATGGGTGTGGAAGACAGAAGGGGCATGAACCAGCAGGGCAAGCAAAATCTATTGACTCCCCATCTATGCTCCAGCTCTGGCCCCAGGACCCTCAATTTCCTCCTGTAGCTCTGAACCTCTTTTTCAGGGGCACTAGGTCCGAGGGGAAAATGGGAGAAGCAGGCAGTGAAATGGGGAACACTGTGACCCCAAGCCAGCTCTGGGCTCCAAGGAAAGAAGTGCTCACTCCCACCTGGGGGGGGTGAAGCTTGCCAGGGTCCTTGCTTGGGCAGGGCTGAGGTTCCCATTGGGTCTGCCTTGGAAGACAGGGACACTCACACCTGCACCCCCTGGCCCTGCAGCTGCAGCACTCGGGCCTGCAGGGCGCTGATCCCACTCAGGAGGGCCTCTCGGTGCTCCGCTGAAGAGATGCCCAGGCTCACCAAGTCCCTGGAACAAGGGCTGCTCAGATGCAGCGGGTCAACCGCTCTTTAGCTCCTCCCACATCACCCTCTCCCTTCTCTGGGTGGGGCAGGACCAACAAGGGCTTCCCACCTAGGCAGGGGCAGTGTCCCTGCCTTGGCTGCTCAGACTCACTGGGAGGTCATCTCAGCCACAGCCTCCAAGGTCCCATAGCCAGCTGCTGCAAAGCTGTCCTTGTAGCGGCACAGGTCCAGGGCCTCCAGCCAGGCCCCCACGGAGCCAAAGGAGGGGAAGGTGGAGAAGGCACGGTCCGCCAGGGGGGTGGGAGGCCTGGGGAGGAGGAGCAGTGGTCAGCTGACAGATCTAGTGCCCAGACCCAGCTGCTCCCCCAGGAAAGATGGGAAAGGGAGGGCAGCCAAGCCCCAGGCACAGGCCTGTAGCCCAGAAGAGGCAAGACTCAGGGTACTCCAGCAGGTAGAAAGCTGCTAGGGTGCAGGTAAGGCAGGTGATATATATGTGACACAATGAGGTTAAATTCACTTATTTTAATTATTAGAACTATACTGAGGGATGCATTGTAAATATATTCATTCAGTCAGTGGTCATTGTGTGGGGATATGTGGGGCAAAATCCAGGATGAGTGACGTGAGATGAGATGTACCTGAGACAGGTGGGAGTGATGCAGCTGTCCAGGGTGGCTGCCGAGGGGTGCTACCCAGACAGCTGGGGTGCTGTGTCTGGGACCCTGGGGAAGCCATTCATGTGAGGTCGGCAGAACCTCGTCCAGATGGGCATCAATAGGAAGGTACCTGGGACAGGTGCTTGTGGCACACTTCGAGGGTTCTGGATCCTGCACCATCTTGCTCAGGATGCTGTGGATCTGGGAGAACCTGGGCCGCTCAGCCGGGTCTTTCTGCCAGCAGTCAAGCATCAGTCGGTGCAGGGCGGAGGAGCAGTTCCTAGGGGGCGGCAGCCGGAAGCCATCTTCCACAGCCTTGATCACCTGGGCCATGGCGATGGGGGTGGACAGGGGATTTCAGGTCCCCCCGACACACACACACACACACACACACACGCACGCACGCACGCACGCACGCATAGGCACATGCACAGGCATGTACACATGCACACCCCATTCCAACAAGGACTCAGGTAGTGGCGAGGCAGAATGGGAAGGAAGGAGATAGAGAAAAGGGACCTGGAGCTAGGAAGTGAAGGGTCAAAGGAAGAAGTCAAGGAGTTGGAGCTACGAGTCACTCACATCTTGGCCAGACATGTCCCAGTAGGGCCGCTCACCGAAGGCCATCACCTCCCACATGACCACACCAAAGCTCCACACATCACTGGCAGAGCTGAAGTGGCCAAACTGAAGTGTCTCAGGGGCAGCCCAGAGCGCCGGGCTCCGGCCACTCTGTAGGTGGGCAGGCAGGTCAGGATAGGAAGAAACTGAGTCACAGCCAGGCTTCTCCACCCCACATCCAGCCCCACCTGTCATTCTCACAGGCAGCCCCCCAACACCCAGCTTTACCCTTGGGGAAGGCATTCCAGCTGACCATGGGATGGAGCCCACAGTGGCATTAACTCAGGACAAACTGGGCTCAAGGGCAGGGGAGGGAGAGACCCTGACAGCAGGGAAGGGGCTTGGGGGAGACAGAGAGTCCTGGGGAAATGACCTCTCACCATGGTGGTATAGACAGCCTCTGCTCGGTCGCGGGGGCCCCGCCCAAAACCAGACAGCTTACAGAGGAGGCCACTGCTGACCAGCACACGGCGGGCGGCGAGGCCCCGGTGGACATAGCCCATCTCCGACAGGTACTTCATGGCTGATGCCAGTCCAGGCAGGAGCCCCATCAGCTGCTCAGCCACCAGCTGCCCCTCATGACGCTGCAGATGAGGGGAGGCCGGGGTTCTGTGCTCAGATCTCCTGGTGCCCTCACTGGGACCCCTAGGTCAGCCTGACTGGGGGGAATGATGCCAATTCCGATTCCACGCCCACCAAGGAGAAAGTGAAGGACCAAGAATAAACTGGTCATCCGTCCCCCCAGGGCCCAGGCCACTCACCCTGAGGAAGCTGTCCAGGGCCCCATGGCCCATGTACTCAGTAACAATCATCAAGGGGCTTCCTGTGCCAGATGGGGACACACACGCTAAGTTGCCTGGCTACTCTGCGCACACATGCTCCTCCCATGAAGCCCCATCTTTGCTAACATGGCCAGAACCAAAGTCAAGCTCCCTCATCTTGCTACTCCTCTCCTCAACCCAGCATCCCCCAGGTGCAATGGCAAAAGAGGTATCTATAGGGGAACAGAGGCCAACATCAGGAACTACAAGTTAGCTAAGATCACCCAAGGGGTAAGAGTTTCATACTCTCCCTGGCCACACTACAGGTCAGAAGGTCATTCCAAGTGAGTGACCTGGGGTCTCCCAGAGTGATAGCAAACTAACACCTGTCTAGACTCTTTCCTCCTTGACTCCTGGAGCCCCCTCCTGATAGCTGACATCTGTCCTTTACTACATTCACAGCAAGAAGTGGAGAATCAGGCAGGCCTACCTCTGGTGACAACCCCCTCCAGGCGCACAATGTGGCTGTGGTCAAACTGGCCCAGGGTGAGGGCCTCGGCCAGGAAGCTGAGCCTTTGCGAGTCTGAGCAGCCATCTCTCAGCGTGTGCACTGCCACAGGCAGCTCCTGGCGGCCAGGTAGCTGCAAGCAGCCGCAGCACAGGTCCCCAAACCGCCCTGTGGGGAGCAACACCTCAGTTGGTCCCCTGAAGGCCACCCCCACCCCCAGTGTCCAGCAGGGCAGCATGAAGTGAGGAGAGAATGACTCTGGCCTGGGGTGTGGAACTCCAGAGTTCCCATCCTGGTAACCTGAGTACCCACACTATGACCTTGGGCTTCACCTCTTCCCCCTGGGCCTCTGTTTCCTTCCCTGTTAAGCTTTGAACATGACTGCACCGCCAGCCTCTCACAGGCCATGAAGCCAGCATGAGCCAGGACAGGGGACGAGGACATCTGTTCTGCCTTTTGTGCAGCAGGTCTGGTGACAGTTTCAGGAGAGTGTCAGTTTTCTGGGGAAAGTGTTAGGCTTCTCTGAACACAAGGGCAGGTGGGCAGAGGGCTTGTGGCCAGGTACAAAGGCAGGAGGACGCTGACCTGAGCAAGCAGACTCACCACATCACCTGCAGGAGGCAGGGGTCATGCCCATCTTACAAATGAGAAACCAAGGCTCTAGGAAGCAGAGCATGCCCTGTGATGCAGCTCACTGGTGGCAGCACCACAACCAGAACTCTGCTTATAAAAGCCCCTCCTACTGCCTCTTGAAGGCCAGGCCCTACACAGAGCCTGCAGCAGATTGCAGTGGCTGACCCTGAGTGGGACTGGATGGAGAGGTCTTAGACTGACTCTAGGGCCCGGTGGGGGTAGAGTCACACATCCCTCTGGTGGGCATGGAAAGCATGCTCAATGTGGAGAGGACCCCCAAACTCCACTGGGGCTAAGATTTTAGAGGAGGCTGACTGATGAGAGGGGTGGTGGGTAGAGAATCTGGGTGGGTGGAACCAGGTGGGTGTGGCTTAGGAGGGTGTGGCCTATGGGAGGGGCTTCCCTGGTGCCCAGCTCACCTGCTCCCAGGCTCCTCTCCAGCATGATGCTTTTTGCATCGAGCTCCTTGGCAAACAGGTGCACAGCCTGCAGCGGGTCCCCACAGCTCTGGGGTTCCAGGAAAGTGCGACGTGTTGGGACTTTGACTGGAAACACAGAGTAAAAAAGCCAGAGCCTGAGGAAAGGGACCTTACTGCTGGAACAGGAGGGGCTTGTGAAAGCACCCTGAGCAGAGGTGGGTGAAGCCCACCCTCCAAGTGACCCGACAACTCACAGTGGAAATACAGCTCCTCTTCTTCATGGGCATCACTACCTCCTTTGCCATAGCTGCAGGGCCTGTGGGTGCAGAGAACCCCTTCACCAGGCCACCCCAGCCTCCCACTTCAGCACCCAGGACAGCACTTCTGCATCCGGAGACACAAGGCCTTCACCCCAGGAAGGAGTATCTTGTCCTGCTGGTTTAAAGACTCCATCGCTCCTGCTCTTGCTTTGTGTTTTTACTGGCCATCCCCTTCATGGTTTGGCAACCTCTTCCCCACAGCACCATCCCAGCCTAGCCCCATACCAGTGTTTTCACAACACTTGTGACTACAGAGGTTCCCAAACCCACACCCCTAATTTACAGCCCTACATTGCTGGGAAAGAGGGGACACAGGCAGGTCCTGTCCACAGGTGCAAAGGAGGAGGCCTGACTGCAGACCACAGCAGAGCACCTGACCCACTAGGCTCAGCACAGAAATCTTGAGACAAGAGGCAGTCAAGGACCAAAGGCCTGAGTCACAATCAACAGAGCCAGAGGCAAGCATTTGTTGCCCCCAGGCAGGATCTTGCTGGGCCAGATAAAGACTCAACCCTTTATTCTGGGAGCAGAGGCCCTGCCTGGGGACCTGGAGCAGGGGAACGCTGTGCTTCAATTTGCATTTTAGAAAGATCATCCCAGCTGCTGAGTGCAGAGGTCTCTGCAGGAGGCCGATAGTGGCTCAGGCTGTGGGATGACCATGCCAGGAACAGGAAAGAGGGGGGCTGGACGGGAGAAAGGAAGACAGAGGAGGTGCTCCAGAGCTCACTGAGAACCCGTCACTAAGACAGGGAAACAAAAAGTGCACAGAGATTACTTGGCAGACTAAGCTGAGCCTACGACTTGCCTGCTTAGGCAAGCGCAGGAACTGGTGTTCAATCCCCTGTGCCACACACCGTGCTGGCCCCATCCCCAGGTGGGCTGAGCTGCCCACAAGACCAGGCGTGGTGGCACACACCTGTAATCCCAGCACTGGGGAGGCTGAAAGCAGGAGGATCACTGCCAGCCAGCGCTGTGTAGTCCTGTACCAAATAAATAAACCAATAAATATTTTTTTAAGTGTACATTTAGCCATCTGATGAAGCCTAAAGTTGCCAGGGTCTCCTGATGATACAGAGTATTGATCTTCTGTGGTGGCATGAACTATATAATGCACAACACAGATCCATTTGATTATCCTAACTCACTATGCAGTGAGACCCTCTCAAAAAAAAAAAAAAAAAAAAAACAGTAGCAAAGCAAAGCAGACCATGCAGCGATGATAACTAAGAGCTCAGGATGCCACCCGCTATTGAGAAGTGAGTGAGCCAGGACAGAGTACAGAGGCAAGGAGTAGAGGTGCAGGGACTACAGCACAGAGCACGCACTGAGGGCCATACAGAGGGGCACGAGGAGGGCTGGGATGCACGTGGGGGAGCCAACGTCCCGACCCCTCAGCCTGGCACTTCTCCCCACAGCAGGGCAGTGTGGTGGCAGTGGCCTGTGCGCTGCTGTTGGCTCTCTAACTGCTCGGGCGCCTGCTCCTCAGCCCTGCTGGGATCTTCTCTTGGGCTGCAGTGCCCTTGTCTCTTCCCTTCCCCCTGCCTCCAGGAGTCCCGCCACTCAAAGCCAGGACAGCTGCTCAAGGCAGCTGCTCATTCCTGCTTTCCAACAGGCCTGGCGCAGGCCGATGGGCCTGGTAGCTCTAGGAGCACAGCACTCCTTGCTCTTGGCCCGCCTGCCTGACTCAGCCTTCAGTCACTGTCAGAACCTCAGTTAAGACCATGGAAACAGCCAGTGCCGAGGCAAAGGCACCTACTCCTGCAGCCCAGAGGTGGCCCCAGGTGGCTGTGCAGACTGAGATATGGCTTCTGGCCAGCCTGCCCCCCCCACTACATACAGACTTCCCACATTCTCCAGTTTGCTGACCTTCGCCCCAGCCTGCGACCACCGGGCACATCTGCAAATAGCAGAGTGCGGCCCTGGGGAGAAGCAGAGGTGAGACTCATGCTGCATGTGAAAAGACCAGAATTTCTCTTCTAGACTCCAGCTCTACCTCTCCCCACGCCACCCCTTCTCCCAGCTCTCCTGCAAGCTTCCTTCTGCTGTGGGTGGAGGGTTTTGGCTGATGGGGTCCCCACCCTGTCTTCTCCACACCACACACACACACACACACACACACACACACACACACACAATTTTTTTCGTTTCTTTTTGCCTGTGTTCAGTGGTTTCCAAATCCCTTGGGGGCAGGGGTGGAGCCTCTGAACATCTCAGGAGAATCCTAATCACACTGGAGCAGCTAGAGCTTGGCTCCATCCTCAGTGATGCCTTCTGACATTTAATGAGTTAAGGAGCTAAATCCCCTTCATCCCAGAGCGGCTGAGCTTGCTGTGGCGGCTGCCGCAGGAGCAGCGTGTGGGGGAGGGGCTGCGCTGGTAGCAGCTGTCTCTTACGCAGCAGGGCCTGTGTGTGTACAAATCCACACAACTGCAAAGCCAATGCAGATGCAGACACAGGTGAGTAGGAGCATGTGTTATTGTGCACAGGGGAACACACTCGCCAGGGGCACTCAGCCTAGGACTAGCCACTTACCTCCTCCAAATGGCCAGGACACTCATCACAGAACCCAGGACGAGGAGGGCCGAGATGGTCACCACAGTGACCATAACTGCGGGGCTCTGGTCTCTCGACCCTGGAGTGGCTGGGAGGAAAACCAAAAGGTTGAAGCAGGCCGAGAGCTGCTTCCTGGGGAGGCCCCAGCACAAACTCCCGTCCCCACCTCACAGGAAGATTCCCTTGGAGCCTCTGCACTTCGGCACTGCCTGCCTGCAGCAGGGGGACCAAGGCAGCACTGTCCAGAGTGACACCTGGAGTGCCAGGCAGGACGTCTCCACTACACCCCAGCTCTGAGGAAGGAGCAGAACCCCAGGTCTGGCTGGAGGCAGAAGGTGAGTGGCGATGACAAGGAGTATCGGAAATCAGATACTCATGGGGCACAAAAACAGAAACTGAGAGACAAATGTGCCAGGCAGGCTCTGTGTGGCTGTCAGGATGAGAACCTCCTGGTCTTCATTGCCTCGAGCACAGGCTAGATCTGGTGACTAACCTCTAATGAACAGAGTATGGAAAATGTGACAGAAAGCCATTTTTACTGTCAGGTGACAACAGCCTTTGGCTTCCATCTTGGGTGCCTTCCGTCTGCTTCTCACTTGCTGTCTCTGGAATAGTCTAGCACAGCACAGAGCAGCCTTACTGAGGGGCGCAAAAGGCACACACACACAGGCCGCAACAGAGAGATCCTGAGTCAGCCCTGAGGCGACAGCAGCCCAGAGGACACCTGGCTGCGGCCTGGGAGGGAGACCCTGAGCCAAGGCCACTGGCTAAGTGGCACTCAAGTTCCTGATGCTCAGAAACCATGGAACAACCCAGTCCTGTTACTCTTAGCCACTGGACTGCGGTAGATTTGTTACCCAACCATAAAAAGCTAACATGGCAGTGATGCACAACCCCTCAGGAGATCCTGATATCGTTCCTCTCCTGTAACCCCAGTACTCAGGAAACTAAGGCGGAACGATTCCAAGTTTGAGGCCACTGTGGGCTACACAGGAAGTTCAAGGCCAGGCTGGACTACACAGAGAGATCCTGTCTAAGAACAAAATTCTGACTTGGGGGGGTCAGAGCTTATTGGAAAAACTGCCCACAGAGAAGGTGAACCAGACCCCTCATGTCCAGGGTCACAGCAATGGAGGTAGACATGGGATGGATGGCAATCTTCAGTCCTTCTGTACGGCTCCAGTCCCCACTGGCCACACTCACTCCAGCCCAACCCATGGGCTTTTGTTCACGTGGCTCTCTGCCCACGCCTCCTCCAGGGCCTTCCCGGACCGGGGCCACTGGCTCAAATGTTCTCCAGCCTCTAGCCACAGCTCTAATCTGCTCTTCTCAGCACCTGGCTGAGGCCTGGCACACCAGGCCTTTGAGCAAGAAGTGCTGCCGTCCTCCCCAGACTCAGACTCACTCCACACTTTATCTTCTCCTCCCTTTGGGCTTGGAACTCTTCCTATCTTGGATTAGAGTCATGTACCAGGTTGGAAAGAATTATTATCTTGACAGCTGGTGCCAGAATGCCTCTTAGGGGGAACTGCCTTTGTTCAGGAAAATACTTTCATGAGCTGCTCAGGGTAGATAGAGGTGAGATCCTGAGGGCTGGGTTAGCAGCAGGCAGAACAACAAAAGGGAGCTAAACTCCTTGCCTGGCAGGCCTTGAAAGGGAATTTGGGGTGGGTGGGGGAGAAGAGGCAGCAGGGAGGTGTGCAGAGGGCAGCAGGAAAGCCAGTATCATGGGGAAGCCAGGGATATTTTAAGACCAGGGTATCTAATGTTCAGCTTTTGTTTTTTGTTTTCACAGGAACCTTATTGAGGTGAAATTCCCATACCAGTCAATTGACCCACTTAAAGTGTACAGTGCTTGTTCTGTTTTGTTGGTTGCTGTGCCCCCCCTTCACACCCCTAACCCTCAGTGCCATATGTGTCACACGTTAAGCCTGGAGGGGAAAGGGACAGTGCCCCTCAGTGGCCTACATCATGGCAGAGAGCAAGAACAGATCTACCTGTCAGAGCAAGAGGTGACTGTGAGGCTGGAAACCCTTTCCAAGAGAGAAGCTGGATCCCAGGAGTGTACAGGATGTTACCACAGAGCACAGGGTCCCCTCTCCGAGGAGGCCAGCACCAGCTAAGATAGGTGTATTGCTGGCCCCAAACTCTTTTCTTGTGAGCTGCTCCAACACAGGTACCCCACTGAGTTCCTATTGGTGGGTCCCAAGTTTCTTAATGAATTAGGCAGCAATTCTGCTGCTTTGCAGGCTCTGGCGGTCACACGCCTAACCTTCACCTTCTCCATGTCTCCTGCCTACCTCTGCGCCAGGCCCTCTAAGCCCAGCCCTGACTCATCCTGCATACACTACTTACCCTCCCCTGGGGTCTGCACTTCAATGCTGGGGTTGAAGCTCTGGGACTCCCAGGAGGGCCCCAGTGAAGCGGCCCGGATCTGGAAGACGTAGCGGGTAGCTGGCTTCAGGTTGGTGACAGTAACTGCAGGTGTCCCTGTCTTCACCATGGAGTAAGTTTGCTCACTTTGACCCTGCAGAAGACAGAGAAGTAAGGCCCAGACCCAGTGCTTGACACTCTTTTGGGGAGGTGGGAGAAGTAGCCTTGGACCAACATAGGTGAGGTGCGGGAGCCAACTCTGATCATCTGGGACACTGCAGAGTTTTCTGCCAAGGGATCCCCAGCATCTCTCCACCACAATCAGGGTTTGTATGGCTGAGAAGAGCCCCACTCTGCCTAAGAGAAACATTAGGGAAGCCGCAGCACCTCCTTAGGAATGACAGGATGACGGCTGTCATGGCCTGGTAGTGCAAGGGTGAATAAGCGGGGCGCAGCCCAGGCATTGGCCTGATCTCACAGGGTTTGCTTCCCCTTCTCAACTGATTTTCAAAACTGTCCTGCAAGGCACAGAACAAGAAGTGTTATGATATTTGTTTTGTTTTTATTTCACAGACAAGAAAACTGGGCTCAGCTAGTAAAGACTGGCCCCAGCTGGAGGAAGCAAAGGCTGTTACTGATAAGTGCCATGCTCCTAGCAGCCCCACAGGAATCAGCAGGTCTCTCTCCTTTATGCGTGAGGTTCCTAACCAGGAGAGGTCAGGTGACACCTGAATCCCTGGAGGCCTGCTCTTTGCTCTCTAGCACATCTGATGGGGCCTGTCCTAGCGCTTCCCATCATTCTGTCTCTACCCACACCTCACTTGGAGGCACGAGAAGGCCCCCTTTTCTCTGATGAAATGTGGTCCCAATTCTTTGGCCAAGGCATTCCCAACCTGGGGGACAAGTCAGGCCAATCATATTCTCCCTTCTACCATTCAAACACCCCCTTGGAAAACAGAGAGGCAAAGGCTGTGGGACCTAGGAGATGGGTTGTCACCCAGGGAGAAGGACGGGGCCAGGGCTGCAGCAAGCCCCTCAGCAGAAGTTGGGGCGGTGGGCAGAGAGAAGTAGAGGTGAAAGAATGGCAGCTCCTGAGGACAGCCCCTCACACCTGTCTAGACCTAGTGGCCTAGCAGTGCTCCACTTTCATATGTGCTCTTCTTTTTTTGCGGGGAAGGGGGGACCGGGGATTGAACTCAGGCCCTCATGCTTGTCAGGCAAGCGCTTATTCTACTGAGCTATCTCCCCAGCCCCCAAAAAAGGCAGAAGGATTTTTTTTTTTCTCCAAATGCCTTCAGGTCAGGTTTGGCTGGCCTGAGTTGTGGAGAGCAAACCACAGCAACCTGAGCGTGACTGCTTTGTTGAAGCAGCCACTTAAAGAACTGAGCTACGGGGCAGGCCCCCTCATATGTGCTCTTCTTTCAAAATATTTACTTAGGTATTTATTTATTTTTGAGACAGGGCTATGCTAAGTAGTCCAGACTAGCCTTAAACTCATGATCCTTGTGAGTGAGCCTCACAAGTGCTAGAATTCCCGGCGTGTACCACCACATCCATCAAGGGCTGTCCTTGCCCTTCTTCTTTGAGGGTTTCCTGCCTAGACTTCACATTTCTGATTAAGGGGCTGTGAACGTCGAGCTGGCTCAGCTTTGCCACTCTTGGGGGTGATCTGATCTTCAAATTTCCTCCACAGAATCCTTAGCACCTGCTGCATACCCAGCTGCCTCCTAAACATCTGAGGTCCTCAGAGCTCTGTCCTGGCCACTTCCCCCACACACCCTGCCCTGCTGTCGTTAGCTACCAAGTTGCCCTCTCCCCAACTCAGGCTCTACGTTGAGGGTCAGACTGCAGGCCCTGCAATGCTGCATGAGCAAAGCCAAGCTCAGCCTCACACCCCTCTGCTCCCCCTCCTCAGCTGCCCTTTATCGCAATTAGTGGCACCCATCCTGTGGGTCACCCGGGTCCCACACCCAGCAGTGATGCGGAACTCCCTCTTCCTCCTGGATACCCCCCCACACAACACACACACACACACACACACACACACACACACTCACACACTCACGCACACACACAGCTCTCAAGAGACTTCCAATATTCAAAAGCTATTAACTGATTCAGCAGAGCAGCCCCGCGCGTCACTGAGGAGTGAGCTGAGTTCTGACACGCGTAGTGCTGACATGGGAAGAGCCTTCACCTTAATGAATTTAGTCTGCACCAAGGTGAGAAGCAGTTTAACGGTAGATTACATCTCAGGCTTAGACAATCAATTTATGGGGAAAAGAGAGTGGCCTGGGATGTAACTCCATTTGTAAAAATCATGGTTTAACTACAGCCATAGATTAAAAATGAAGAGAAGGGGAGATAACGCCGGGCTTGGTGACTTGCTGGTAGTTCCATCTACTACTCAGGACAGTGAGACAGGAAGATTGCTTGAGTCTAGCAAACACAGCAAGGTTCTGTCTCAAAAACAAAAAAAGAAGAAAAGGAAAGGTTTGAAAAAAAAAAAAAGCATCTTATGTAAAGCTATGAGATTAGTCTTATGGAGTTTATAATAAGGTATTGTATTTTACTATAATTATAAGTGATGTGCTCTGTGCACACCCATAGTGTCTGTGAGATGTAACTGGTGCATTCATCACCCTGGAGAGCTGTCTGATAAACACCAGCCCATCGCCCCACCCTGCCCTGTGTGCCCACGGTTGGCCATTTTTTTAAAAATTGAAACAATGTATTTCTATTCTTTCTTTTTTAAAAAAGCGTTCTGCAGATTGTATGTATAATAAGCCACACAAACTCTGGACCAGCCCTTTAACCTGTTTGTCAACCGGAAACGCTGGGCCCAGGCGTGGACATGAAGATGTGACTGGTGATGAGGGTGGGTGTCCCTGGAAAAGAGAAGGGTACAGGGCCCTGGGTGCCCTCCGGAGGGACAGGAAAAGGGGCTGCCTGGGAGGCTGGTGGAAGTTTGGAAAGAAAGTAAGGGCCTTTTGCTGGGAGGACAGAGAAAGGGTAGCAAGCCTCTTGGCTACTCACCTTCTCGTAGTACCGGATCTCATACTCTGTGCCGTTGGCCCCGGGGGTTCCAGCCACGATGGGCTCCCGCCATGACAGGGACACGCTCTGGGGCTCCACTCGGTCCCTCCGGATCTCATCCTCCTCCCAGGGTGCTGAAAGTTAAGTACAGCCGGGTTCTTCACCAACACCCGCTGCAGTGGGGGCTGGAGAGGGCGGGGGAAGGATGGGACCTGGGAGGCGGGGCTAGTGGGCTGTGGGCGGGGCTAGAAAGGGCACGGAGAGGGCAGCTCCTCAACACCTCATTGCCTCCTAGGGGGACCCTCCCGCTCCTTGTCTACCCTACACCCCAGCTTCCCTCATGGTAGTTGGGTCTAATCTCCAGATTCTTTCTACATTGTCTATGCTTAGAGACAAGTCAGCACAGAGGCAGGGAGACCAGCCACCTAGGTTGGGGCAAAGCACTCAACAACCTAGAAACAGAAGCGACTTCTGTCCCAGCACAATGAAGAGCACATATGGAAAGCCACAGCAACCATCATGCTCAGTAGGGAAGACTGAAGACTCTAAGATCAGGACAGGCGAGGGTGCAAATGCTGCTACTATTCATCATAAGCTTGGAAGCTCTACCTAGCAACTGGACAAGAAAAGGAAATAAAAGGCAGAAGCACATTACCTCTGCTGTTAGATGACATGATCTTATAAGTAGAAAATCCTAAATATCCACCAGATACTTTCAAAACTGATAAATACAGCAGTTACAGGATATAAAAAGCAATGACTTGCATTTTATATACTAACATTGAATAATTTTTAAAGGAAATAAGTTAGTCACAGTGGCACATGCCTACCATCCCTGCTACTAGGACAGCTAAGGCAAGATCACAAGTTCAAGCCCAGCCTGGGCAATTTAGCAAGATCCTGTCTCAAAATAAAAAGAATGGGGAATGTATCTCAGTGTCACAGTGTTCCTAGGTTAATCCCTAGTATTACAAGAATTTTAAAAAGCATATTAAACAAATATACTGCTTAGGCAGGCACAGGGACCTGGGTTTGATGCCATCCCCATCCCTGAGGCATGCTGAGACAGCGATTGAGACTGGGCATGGTGGTGTGTGCCTGTAATCCCAGCGCTTGGGAGGCTGAAAACAGGAAGATCACTATGAGTCCAATCTGTGTAGTGAGACCTGTAGACCCCATACTAAATACATAAAAAAAAATTAACAAATATATACATGAACTGAGGGTGTATCTCAATGGTAGAGCAAGGCCCTGGATTTAATCTCCAGAATAAGAAGGAAGGGAGAAAGGAAGGGAGGGAGAAAAGGCAGGAGTGAGAAAGGAAGAAAAATTAATTTACCATACCCTCAAAAAGAACAAAATCTTAGAAACAAGTGTAACCAGAGAAGTAAAAGACTTGCAAGCCAAAAACTATAAAGTATTACTGAAAGAAATTACAGGCGGCGCTGGTCCTTCCGCCACAGCAACCACTGAAAAACAGTAGCCATGGCCCTCCGCCATGGGCCTCAACAAGGGCCACAGGTGACTAAGAATATGAGCAAACCCAGGCCCAGCCGCTGTCGCGGACGCCTCACCAAACACACCAAGTTCGTGCGGGACATGATCCAGGAGGTGTGCAGCTTCGCGCCCTATGAGCAAGCAGCACGCCGTGGAGCTGCTCAAGGTCTCCGAGGACAAGTGCGCCCCTCAGGTTCATCAAGAGAAGGGCGGGGACGCACCTGTGCCAAGAGGAAGCGTGAGGAGCTGAGCAACGTGCTGGCTGCCATGAGGAAGGCAGCTGCCAAGGACTGAGTCCCTCTGGAATAAAGCTTTGCAGAAAGGAGAGGGAGGGAGGGAGGGAGGGAGGGAGGGGGAGAGAGAGGGAGAGAGTTAGAGAAAATATGATGAATGGAAAGACACCCTGTACTCAGGGAGTGGAACATTTCATAAGGTTAGAGTGTCCTTACTACCAAAAAAGAGATCCACAGATTCAGTATCATTCCTAGCAAAATCCAAGAAGCTTTCTTTTTACACAAATGTGAAGAGAAGCCTACATTCTTATGAAATCTCAAAGAAATAGGAATGAACACAAGATCTTGGGAAAGAAAAATAAAGCTGGGGCAGGCCAGATAGCTCAGCGGACTAAAGCGCCTGCTTCGCAGAGCACTGTGGTCGGGTTCGATGCCGGGTTTGCTACCCAGCGCCGTGCTGGCCCCACCCCCGGGGTGCTCTGAGTGATGACTGAGACTGGGCCTGGGGGCGCATGCCTGTAATTTCAGCACTTGGGAGGCTGAAAACAGGAGAATCACCAGCAGTCCGATCTATGTAGTAAGACCCTGTACATCCTGTAGGCCCTGTCCTAAATTCATAAAAAAGAAAAAGAAAGCTGAAGGCTTCACACTTCCTGACTTTAAAGCATATCATAAAACTATAGTAATCTAAACAGTATGATACAGACATATAAACCAATGGTACAGAAGAGAAAGCCCAGAAATAATCCCTCATTGTGTGGTCAAATGACCTTCCTCAAGGGTACCAAGGCTGAGGAAAAGGACAGTCACCTCATCAAGCAGTGCTGGGAAAACTAGATACCACATGCAAGGAGAATGAAGTTGGACTTCACCTTAAGCCACATACAAAAATTGATTCAAGATGGATTAAAGACCTGAATGTAAGACCTGCAACTATAAAATTCCTAGAAGACAACATGGGGGAAGCTTTATGAGATTTGATTTGGCAATATTTTCTTAAATATAACACCAAAAACATAGGCAATAAAAGCAAAGATGGATGAATGAGACTACAAACTACAAAGCTTATGCACAGCAAAGGTAAAAATAAAGAAGTGAGGGGCTGGTGAGATGGCTCAGTGGTCTAAAGCACCTACTTAGAACAAGCTTGGCAGAGCACAAGGACCACAGTTCAATCCCCCAGCACCACATGTCAGCCAGCCCCGCCCCTTGGTGGGCTGAGCCACACACACACACACACACACACACACACAAATAGAAATTTAAAAAAATACTAAAAAAAAATAAATAAATAAAAAAAGAGGTGAAAGCATGACCTACAGAACAGGAGACAATATTTGCTAACCTTGTATCTAAATATCCAAACCATACACACAAAAGAAACCTTTCTATAATTCAATAAGAAAGAAACAATTAAAAAATGCTCAAAGGTCAGGCACAGTAACAATGCCTATGGTCCAAGCTGCTTGGAAGGCAGAAGCAGAAGGACCATTGATGCTAAGAGTTCAAGGACAGCCTGGACAACATAGTAAAACACCGTCTGAAAACCAAAGGAGCCAGTTGGTCAGCACTTGGGAGGCAGAAACAGAAGGATCACTATGAGTCTGAGGCCTGCCTGGGCTCCATACTGAGTTTAAGGCCAAGCTGAAATACAGTGAGATGTCCCACTACACACACACACACACACACACACACACACACACAGTAGCAACAGCTATTGGAAAGGCTGAGACAAGTGGATAGGGAGCTCAGCATGGGCAACTTAATGAGACCTTGTCTCAAAATAAAAAGCAATTTGATCCAGGTCCCACATGCAGCACTTGGACCAAGCTGAGCTGGTGACAGAGTCTGGATGTAGTGGCGCATGCCTATAATTCCAGCACTGGGGAGGCTGAACCCTGTACCAAATACACAAATGAAAAAAATAAAGTAAAATTAAAAAACAAACAAAAAGAACCAAAAGGGCTGGGGATGTAGCTCAGTACAAATGTCCTGAGTTCAATCCCCAATAAGAGAAAAGATGAAAAAGGAGGAAGAAAGGAGAAGGATGAGGGAAAAACGGAAGAGAAAGAAGAGGAGGAAGAAGAGAAGGAAGAGGGACCAAACTCAAGCAAAGGACTTGTTTCTGAGTGGTGTAGGCATGGAAACAAGGCCAACACATGATAACAATGCAAATGCTGTACTGATGCACTGTGCCTCAGCCCAGGCAATGGATTTGAATAGAATTTTTTTCAAGAAGATACACAAATTTCCAACATGTATATGAAAATGGGATTGAGCACCACTGATCATTAGTGAAATGCAAATGAAAACTACAATGAGATATCATCTCATACCCTTTAAGATGACCACTACAAAAAAACAGAAAAACAATCTGGCTGTGGTGGTACATGCCTGTAATCCCCACACTCTAGGAAGCTGAGGCAGGAAGATTGCAAGTTTCAGCCCACCCCAGGCAATTTAGTGAGATCCTGTCTCAAAATAAAAAAGGGCCAAGGATATAGCTCAGTGCAAGGTCCCTGGGTTCAATTCTCAGCTCCCAAAAGGAGACAGAGGGAGAGAGAAGGCTAAGAGGGGGTAGGGAGGAAAGTTAAGAGCCCTTGTGTTCTGCGGGTGGGAATGAGAAGTGGTGTGGTCACTCTGGAAAACAATGTGCAGATTCAAATGAAAGCTAGCTAGAATCTCCCCATTGCCCAGCAATCCCATTTCTGGACTATCTCCAGAAGAACTAAAAACAGGTCCTCGGGGAGATTTCCACACTCATGTTTTTTTGCAGCATTATTCACGGCAGCTAAGAGAGGGAAGCAACCTACACATCCACCAGTGGATGGATGGATAAAGAAGATAAAGCCTACCCACAGAAACCTCCTGCCATAGGCTGTATACATGGAAACAGCCTAAAGACATCACTCTGAAGTAAACCTGGCACAAAAAGACAAACACTGCACTTTTTAAATATAAGGTATTAAAGTTGCCAAGCTCTAAGAAAGCAGAATGGTGGTGGCCTGGGGAGAGTAGAGGGGACAAAAGGGAGCTGTACAATGGGTTGAGAGTTTCAGTTTGCAAGATGAAAAAGTTCTCAAAATTGATTCAAATGGCAAGATTTATGTTATGTGCTTTTATCATTACAAAAATACTGATGCGGGGCTCGGAAGATGGCTCAGTGGAATAAGTGCTTCCCTGGAAAACGCAAGGGCCTGAGTTCAATCCCTGGTTCTGAAAAAAAAAAATACTGATGCCCAGGTCATATACCAAAGTAATTAAGTCATGACCTCCAAAAGGCAAGGCTGAGGCATTAGGGTGTATAATTTTAAGGCTTGTCTGTTAGTCCAATGTACAGACAAGTTTTAGAAACACCAGTCTAGATTATGTCTAATTAATAATGATACACACACACACACACA